GGTGGTGAATTTTAAAATGATCTTTTCTATGAATTTTGTGCTCATCGTGGTATAACTCACATGTTTTCCGCTCCTAGAACACCACAACAAAATGGTATTGTTGAACGGAAAAATCGAACCATACAAGAGATGGCACGCACTATGCTAAATTCCTTTGATTTGCCAAAATACTTTTGAGTGGAAGCCGTCAATACGGCTTGCCATGTTTTAAATCGTGTTTTAATTAGACCAAAGCTTAAGAAAACTCCTTATGAACTATTTTATGGAAAAACTCCTTTTATTGGTTATTTTCGTATCTTTGGTTGCAAATGTTTTATTTTAAATACAAAAGATCATCATGACAAATTTGATTCCAAAATTGATGTTGGTATTTTCTTAGGTTATGCACCTCGAAGTAAGGCTTATAGGGTCTTCAACAAATGAACTCTCGTTGTTGAAGAATCTATAAACGTTACTTTTGATGAGACTAATGTTGGTTCTTAAGTTGTTTTACCTAGGAAAGATGACGATGATGAGAGAGGATTGGACTTCTTACAAATCAATGATACACCCTCTATAGAAGCACAAAAGGATGTGGATAGCTCCAATGCTCATGAACAAGTTGAACTTCCTAAAGCTTGGAAATTCGCATCAAACCATCCAAAGGAACAAATAATTTGGAGCCCTTCATAAGGAGTTGCTACTCACTCAAAAGCTTTGAGTGTGGTAATGTTGCTTTCTTATCTCAACTAGAGCCTAAAAAGGTTAATGATGCTTTAAATGATGAATTTTGGGTTTTAGCTATGCATGAGGAACTAAATAATTTTTAAAGAAACAATGTTTGGAAACTAGTTCCTAGACCTAACAATGCTAGTGTTATTGGTACTAAATGGGTTTTTAGAAACAAACTTGATGAACATGGCATTGTAACTAGAAATAAAGCTCGTTTGGTTGCTCAAGGATACAATCAAGAGGAGGGCATAGACTATAACGAAACCTTTTGCACCGGTTGCAAGGTTGGAATCTATTAGCATGTTTTTAGCATTTGCTAGCTTTAAAAATTTTAAATTGATTCAAATGGATGTTAAAAGTACTTTTTTAAATGGTTTTACAGAAGAGGAAGTATATGTTGAGCAACCCCCCGGTTTCATAGATCATGTTTTTCCTAATCATGTTTATCGGGTTCGAAAAGCTTTATATGGGTTGAAACAAGCTCCCAGAGCTTGGTATGCTCGCCTCTCTAGTTTTCTTGTTGAAAATGGTTTTTCAAAATGAACAATTGATAACACTCTTTTTGTGAGAAAAAGGAAAAATGATTTCATTTTAGTTCAAATATATATTGATGATATCATTTTCGGTGCTACTAATGAATCTTTGTGCAAGGAATTTTCTAAAGTTATGCAAGATCATTTTGAGATGAGTATGATGGGAGAGCTTACATTCTTTCTCGGGCTCCAAGTCAAGCAAACTAATGATGGGATATTCATTTCTCAAAGCAAGTATGCTAAGGAATTGGTGAATAAATTTAATTTGGAGAATTCTAAGCATGCGCCTACTCCCATGAGTACAAGTGTCAAGCTTGATGCGGATGAGAGTGGTGAAGATGTGGACCAAAAACTACACCGATGTATGATAGGTAGTCTTCTTTATCTCACCGCTAGTAGACCCGATATCATGTTTAGTGTGTGTGCATGTGCACGTTTTTAAACTTCTCCTAAAGCATCTCATTTAATTGCGGTTAAAAGGATCATTAAGTATGTTACTGGAACCTTTAATCTTGGTTTATTTTATCCAAAGAGCACCTCTTTTGATTTATATGGTTTTTGTGATGCCGATTTTGCCGGATGTAAGGTAGATCGCAAGAGTACGAGTGGAACATGCCAATTCTTAGAAAATTCTCTTGTTTCTTGGGCTTCCAAGAAACAAAATTACGTTGCATTATCCACTACGGAAGTGGAATACATTGCCGTCGGCTTATGTTGTGCACAAGTTTTGTGAATGAAACAAGGCTTAGTTGATTATGATTTGATTTTTTAAAATATGAAAATCTTTTGTGATAACACTAGTGCTATCAATATTTTAAAAAATTTGGTTTTGCATTCTAGAACCAAGCATATTGATGTGCGTCATCATTTCTTACGCGATTATGTAGAGAGACAAGATGTATCCCTAGTGTTTGTTAACACAAAATCTTAATTAGCGGATATATTTACCAAGCCTCTTGGTAAAGATGATTTTTGTCGCATAAGAAATGGTTTGGGCTTATGCACTATGTGAAAGTTCTATTTGCTTGCTTGTTTAGTTGCATTTCGCATGCCTTTTTATTTTTTTTACCCCGTTTTAATGGTGACAAAGGGGGAGAGAAATCTCCTCATTTGTGCACATAGTAAGGGGGAGCTCATAGATAGGGGGAGCTACTATCTATAAGCTATATTTATGTTGCTCTTATATAATGGTTGGTTGTCATCATCAAAAAGGGGAAGATTGTTAGCCCTTATGTTTTGATGATGTTTTACAACCACCATTATAAGTACTAATTGCTTGTTAAGTGAAAATATAGTATATATATACATCAAGCATGTTAGTGCCACAAATGGAGGATTGGATGGAATATGCGCTACAACGATGATATCCAAAGGAGGAGGAGACATAGTGATGAAGCAATGTTCATTCAAGAACACTAAATGCAAATAGAAGCTTCATCCAACTCAAGCTATATCAAGAATCAAAAATTGTATTCTAAGTGAGGATATTAGCTAGTTTTTATTCTCTCTAGTACTAAAATGTAGGCAAATTGTTTAGATTTAAGTTGAAGCTATTGGGATATCACACACATGTTTTCATACTTATAGTTTTGAGCGTTTTCACAAAAATACTATTTCTCACAAGTATGAGGACCTATTAGCAAAATTCCTTTTTCAAACAATTTGTTTTTAGTGTTAAAAACATTTTACAAAGTTTCACAATTTTTGAAAGTCAAATGAATATTTTACAGATTTTTTAAAGTGAGTCAAAAACAGTTTTGAAATGTATTCGTCTGCGGTCGACCACCACGGTCGACCGCACCTGACTTCATTCGATACTGGGCAGCAGAAACTTTCACGGTCGACCGCCGCGATCGACCGCAGAAGTTTCTGCTTGTTTTCTTGTTTTCAGATCTGGTTCGCGGTCGACCGCGAATTCTTTACGGTCGACTGCCAAGTATTTTCAACGGTCTTTTTATTTGGGTTCCTATGCCGACTGTACACAATCTTAGCAAAGTCTGTTGCAAGATTGTTTCTAGTTTTGGGAGATTAGGTTATGAATTTAAACAACTGGTTTCCCCTATTTAAACTCATACTCTCCTTCTTCCTCAGTGCCCTGAGCTTTTGAAAAAGCAGAGACGTTGTTTTTACTGAGAGCCAAAACTTTCAAAACCAGTTTTCTGTGTTTTCTTAAGTTCACATCTCAGCTTCAGTTTGATCTTACTCTTTGCCATAGGGACTTTGTAAAGAGAGGTTTCTTACACCATTACTACTGTTTTGAGAGTTTGATCTTGTGAAGATCAACTGTGTGGAAGTGTGATCTTGTAGAGATCAACAGTGTAGTTGTGAAATCGTGAGGGGATCGTTGTGTAGAAAAAGTTCCGGCTTCCAAACCGAGTTGTGTAGTGGATTTCTCCTCGAGTGGAGAGCGGGGACGTAGGTCAGAGGACCGAACCTCGTAAACACATCGTGCGTCACAAGGATAATGATTCCTAACTCTATCTCTATTTCTACTGTTGGTCTTTTTTGTGGATTATTGCTTGTCTAATTTTTATTGCACTAGTTTTAGCCTTAAGACCCTAATCATCCCCCCCCCCCCCCCCCCCCCCCCCCCCCCCGGCCAGAGGCAACGATTAGGGTTTGAGTCAAGTTCGAGCGTCTCTCCTGTTCAAATTCAGGCCTTTGATCGAGCAATTTCAACATTCAGGTCTTCAAACGAACTAATCACTGGATTTTTAGGAACATTCTTTGTAGGGTTTCTTGATCTTGCCTTTTTCAATTTTGGGGTTTTTTTAATCCCGTCTCCTTTCAATTTTGGGATTTTCTTGAGTGTTTTATTCGTATTGGCGTTAATGTTATAAATTGAGGAGCTTTGTAGTATGTTTTAGTCTTGAGATCATATTGGATTGATTAATTTTGCTGAAATTTTGGTTTAATTTGAAAAGTTTGAATTTTCACTACATTTTATAAGATAAATTTTCTTAGGACAGGTCTCTCATATACTAGCAACTAAGATATTGTTTTCTAAGGAAATTAAATTATCTTTTACTACAAATTAAGCTTCAATCATATAGATTGGAAATTTAATTAAGGTTTCCATCGAAAAGCATGAGAAACAAAAAAAGGTGTGAGCCATATATATGTTCTTTTCTTAGCATCAACCAAGATCCAGCTAATAGTTGATCACAAAGAATTAATGGTGCATTTTGCATAATTACTCTATGCATCCAGTCTAAAGGCTAGAAGCCGTTTTAGTCATCCTAATGTGATCGGATTGACATCCCTCTCATCAAATCAGTTCTAATCAAAACTAGTTTAGTTCTGAACCAAGAGAAGAATGGACGAAAACAAATCGGTTTAAGGCCAAAATTGGTGAGCTAGTTTATAAGTTCTACTCATGTTCTTTTTGCCAAACAGACCCTAAGTAATAAGTGCACTCGCACACAATACAGGATGCACAATTGTAGAAGAAATTCATGCCGGCAAAGACTGTAGTGGTTATGTTTGTATGGTTAATGTTATTTGGATTGGTGGAGTTATAAACCTTGTTCTTGTCTATAATATGTGATTAAGAGTTTCAGGGAACCCATGTTTCTGCTTCTCTTTTCTTTCAGTCACTATAATGTTTACTAGCCATGCCACTGGAAGTAACTCAGTTGCCAAGGAGTTATTAAAGGTCAAATATAGTCAAGTTTTTCTTTGAGGTATTCGTGATGATGAGATGCTTGAGTTTGAACAGTTTGAGAGCCAACTAGTTTCAGTCAGTAGGACCAAGTCTGAATTAGAAAAGTATTTAGATAAAAAGATGATTTCTTGGAAGAAAAATGAGAATCTGAATGTTCTTGAATATTGGAAAGTAGAATCTGAGAAGTGTCCTCATTTATCCCTGATGGCTCGTGATATACTTAGTATCCATGTTACTTCAGTGGCCTCTGAATCTGCTTTCAGCATAGCTAGTCGTGTGCTTGATAAGTATCGCAATCGTATTCTTCCGAAAAATACCAAAGCTCAAATATGCCTTGGTTCTTGGTTAGATGAGGTTCCTTGTAAGTTTCTTACTTTTTCTTGTTATCTTCTATAAATTTATGGTGTACATGTGTTATATTAGACTAACATAGTTGTATCCTATAATCTAAATGCAACTCTGGAAGATATTGAAGGACATTTGTTAGTGCATGATTTTAGTGATAATCAAAATTTTGAATCTGAAGGTGAAATCTATATGTGTATTTTCTTTGAGGTATTACTAAATAACAGTGTCGGTTCTGACGCTCCGTAGATATGTTCTTGACTGACAACATGTGCAGTTGTGCTCATTCTGTTACATTCTTCCTGTGCTCCTGTTCAACAAACACATTTCATGATTTTACTTAACTGATCTGGTATTGCAGTCCTCTAGAATGATTATTTTAGCGGGATTTATTCCTTATTTAGTTTTGGTTTGATAATCATTCCATAGACGTATAATTAGCTTTTCTATCTCTTACACTTTTGCTAATTAGGGTCGAGGTTCGTGATAGAAATTGCAGAATGAAGGATGGTTTAAGAATAAATATTTCATGAACTGTTAAAGCTATTTGTAGCATATTGGTTCCACGATTCCACTTAGTATTTCTTTACTTCTTTTGGAGAACTGCATTGCTGGTTTATTTAATTAGTTTCGCAAATAAGCATGTCAGCAGTGGTTTGTTTGGCATCGTCCTTTAGCGTGCTATTCCATCTATTTGCTTGTGCCATTGTAGTCTCATTTCATCTTGAATACTCTTGTATCCGCATGAGCCAGCAAGTGTAGGTCGCTGTAATTATCTACAAAAAATGTAAGATGCAGCATTTCATAGATTATCTTCATATAATAGCTTTTGTAGATTGTCTTTGACGAAAAAAGTAAAACTAGTGACGAATTCCTATTTTCTATCAGCCCAGAACTGGTGAAAAAGCTTGCAAGGCAGCAAAGTCCATGGTTATCAAAGAGATGAATTTGCTACACATCCAGGTGGAGGAGAGAGTGCAATCTCTACTCAACCAAGTTCTTCTTGTGCTCCTATATGGGTATCGAGCATTGGGCGCCCCGTATCCTATGTGCAGGCTGTAGCTTGGAAAGTCCTTAACAACGACGATTCTCACCACTGTTTAGCTTTTATGATTGTGAACTGGTCTTTTGTTTGATCATATTCCTCGTTATGCATCTTGCCTCTTTTATGAAACTTAAATGTTGTACAAGGGGCCAATTATGGATTGTACTCAATTAAGTTATGTTGACAGCTCATCTACTATGTTTACTTTATATGCTTACCTATGTGTTCTTTGCTTTATAAAGACATTTCATGATCTTTCAGGTTGAAAGTGCAAAAAAAAACTAAAAATTTGCAAAAAAAAACCCCTAAAAGTTTACAAAAAAATCCACTATAAGTTTACAAAAAAAACCCTAAAAGTTTGCAAGTAGATCCCTAAAACTAACATATATATACAAGCATCATAACTAAATGGGTTATTAGGTCACCCATGAATCACCCATGTAGTAAATGGGTGGATGAAAAGTAACTCATTAGCAAATACTAAATGGGTCAGCAAATACTAAATGGGTCATAAATAGTCAAGTGGTCATAAATGTGTCCACCCATTTATGACCCAAAACTACCCATTTGACATCCCTAACAAGGAGACAGCAACAGAAACAAAAGCATACATTTTTTTATGTGAGAATTACAATATAAATGCATCTAAGAGACATCAAAGATTCAAAAATGACAAAATATATGCATCTAACCAAACACCATCCAGCAACAAAGGTCCAGCTACCACCTCCTAAATATAGTGACAGGGATGATAAACATTTATCCAGCAAGCAGCAGAAGCTTAGTGTTTCTATACACAACTATTGATCATTAAAGTACATAATCAGTTACATTTTTCATGTGTGAATTACAGTAGGATCAAAATTTTAAAGATGCAGAACTACAAACTCAAGAAAAACAGGCCTAGAATCTACAATAGGCAATATGCATAATTATTAATAAATAAAAAGAAAATATAAAAAGTGGCCCTTTACCAGTTCCTAATTATTTGGCAGTAGAATAAACCCTCTATTACAAGAAAAAAATTACTTCCATGAGAGATCACTCCATCTCCTATCTCACAAGAGAAACTAGCAATCATGGGAATTCTTCAATTGTTTCTTTGAATTGAGATCTAGTCTATAATCATAGGCGTGCAACTAACATAGAAGAAACTATAATTAAAGGTTTTACAGCTGACAGAAATATGTAGATAGGTAAATGATGTTGAGAATTCAATTTGTCTTATAACAGAAACAAATCAGAGAATAGAAGTACAAGCAATGGAAATATTGTCATAATTTGCTTCTGAGAAAGAAAATTGCAAGGGATATCACTGAACATTTTTTTTGTTATCATCAGTAAGTTAAGCATATCAAGTGGAAAATGCTATGCTAAACGAGAATTATCCTAAATGCACAACAAGAACTGATAAAGAGGCCTAATATGAACCTATCATCCATAATGTATGGGGCTCTGATACTAAATTCAGCCTTGATAAGCAAAGGAGATAAATTCAATTAATATTCATGATGTACAAATTCATGGCAACAATCTAGGAAAACAGAAAACATACTACTAGCTTTTACCAATATCATGTTTTAAACATCTCTTCATAAAGTGTCTTTTAGAAGGACGCAATTATCCGATATTACACAGATTGTGATAGCCCCTCATGTCAAGCATATCTCAAATAAAACCTGAACATTTAGTAGCTAATTTCAAGTTTGTGAAGAATTAAAATACAAGTCTAAATAAATCCAGTTAAGCTCAAATTGTCTTTATCTAGGGAAATGAGTAAAAGTTATAATCCCAGTTATATTGAACAAGGCACAAACTGATAGCTTTAAGGCAGTTAACATGCCTAATAATCAACTCAAGCTCGACATTGCCATGTCCTACTTACAGTCTCCACTGACCAAAACTCAGAACGTTGATCTTTTTTCAGTATACTTGTTTTTTTAAATTTTCAATTTTGATAATACAACTAATCTCAAAAATAAAAATGTCTACCTACCATCTGACCAAAACTTAGGACATCGATCTTTCTTTTGTTTACTTGTTTTTTAAATTTTTAAAATACAACTTATCTCAAAAATAAAAAACGTCTAACTACCATCTGACCCCTCTAAAACATAAGATATGCGGACAATGCAATAGTTTTACGGATTTTCATTACTTTAATCTATTTAAGACACTATTTAGTATCACACCTAAGCAACACAAATTTTTAATTAGTAAAGGAAAAACAAGGTTTTGTTATAGATGAGAACTCATAGAAAGTGTTCCTGAAATTTTTACAGCTAAACTATCAAGATTATTTTGACATATGATACCGGAATAATGAACACACTCAAGGATCAAGTTAATAATAAATTAAAAAAATCAATACATATATGAATAATGTTCTAGTTATAAATGAACAAATTAACAAGTCTAAGCAATTATATGCATTCTAGGCTGTACAAATAGAAGAGAGAAATAGAAGGGATCTTTTCAAGATAAATAAAACTCAAGTATAACAACCTAAATTTTATCAACTCTCAAGGTACATTATTTATAGAGCAGATACTTGATATGCAATTGCAAGACTGGTTAATTCTCCTTCTTCCATAAAGAACAGTAAAGCACATTTCATTCCCCCTCAACAGGGTTAATTTTGTGGAATTTGCAAATAAACTTTGGGTGTGTATAATTATTCATATAAAAATTATGTGCACAAAAGGTGACTCAAAGCATATATGGATTTTGAGACTGTACTTTATTATTCATGATTTTTATATGATTCAAGATTCTTGAAAGCATGCCAAAATAATTGACTTAAAACACGAAATAGGAACAACAATCTGATTTCATAACGAACAAATTTGAATATAACAATGTTCTCATAAGCTTCATGAGCACTAAAACAAACAAACTAATACTTAGCTGAATAATAATTTATAGAGATAGGCTTATAACAATAAATTGGTTGATGTTGCTTATGTTCCAAAATGGGTAATATAATAAACGAGCAAGCTGTGATCTTTTAAGAAAAATTCATCATGTTGCTTGTTTAAATAAATTTTACTGCACAATTGTTCACTGATCAAAACAGTGTGCATTAAAATGAAGTGCCAGTTTTAGATTATCTCAACGGCAGACCACAGTTAATATTAATCTAATTTCTTTCGTATCAACTTTGCTTGCCTTTTGCTCTTCAAAGAAACTTTTCTCAATTATAGCAACTAAAACTAACAAAAACTAGAAATCCAATCAAAATACTCAGCAAAATCCCTAGATACCTCAAAAGACAAAACAATTACCCCAAAATGATCCTCCTCCTCAAGTGAAGTCCTCAAAAGTATCATTGTCCTCGAGCGCACGAGATCCTCATGCTTGACATCGGAGACGAAGAGATTGGCTGAAACGATCACGGCTAGGACTCGCTAAGACTGGGAATTAGGGTTCACATGAAAAGTCAGCGATCAAGAGAAAGACATGGATTGGATCTAGGATTAGGGTTAATGAATCAAGAGAGAAAGAGGAGAGGGATAGAATATAGAGAGGACAGAGAGAGTTGGGACTCGAAGCAAGAGACGAGTTTGAGAGAAAACAAAACTCGGTAAATTCCAAATGACACCTCTCTGGTTGTGATTTTTAATTCAAGACCCACCATAATATTAAAAGGCCAACTGGAATTGGACCAATTCCACAAAATCAAATATAATATCATCCAAACACTGAACTTGGCCCTATTTCAGAATTTAAATGAAACGTTGATTCCCAAACAGGCCATAAAACAGAAATTAAGCGTATTTGGTGATTTTGCATCTGTTGCATCTCCAGGTTCTGTTTGTGTTAGTCTGATGCAAAAACATCCTTTGTGCTGCACACATCGTCCCATATGATATCGGCAACATATTTAGCCGTGTTATTTAGCACAATCACAGTGATTTCTCTACCATCTAAAATGGTGTAGATAGTACTCTATTCATAAATATTCTGCAATTTAAGTTCCCGCAATCACAGTGATTTCTCTACCATCTATTCACAACCACAGCATGTGAGAAAGTCGTATTCAAAATTTTAGCTTTTTCCTTGATAGGAAATATAAACAGTCTATGCTTCTGACAAGAATAGGATCAAAAGATTAACTCTTCAGTCTCATAACTCTTCCAACTGATCACTGGTTCACTTTTGATCTCATATACGGACGATTGTCCTATGCATTAGGTCGAAACAGAGATCATTCTCAAATTCAGTTCCATGAAAGACAATGAAATTTAAAAGACTTTTTGTTTGATATTCCGTCAAACATTCAAATTATTTAAACAAGAGTTTCAAAGTTCTTAAATGCCCATTCTTATATCAAAAGTATAGTTAAGACATGCAATAATATATCGACATGCTAGACAAAGTCAAAGTTTAAGCCAAGAGTTTACATACCTACATTTTATATAAAACTTCATAGCCTAGTGGTTTCAAATAGTCTTTGTACTTCTCGTCGGCCTACACATAACACAATGAGAACATACTACAATGAACAATTGATCAAAATGAGGAAAAACACTCGCTTCTTGTAGACATACTACATCAGGCTTGAAGGTGGTTAGCTCTTTGAGAATCAGTTTTCTTCAAAATGATAAATCCAACGCCCAAGCTGGGTAATCTTTAAATTTACCAATCAAATATATTGGTGATAGAACATTGTAGGTTAAAATTCGTAAGGGTTCTTTTAAATAATCAGCAATCGGTAGGAAAGCACGGGATGGAAAATTAATCAGGTAGCCATGGAAACCTCTGCCAGCAGATGACCTGTCAACGAATGAAGAGCACGACACCTAACTTCTAGTTGGTGGCCAATATCCGATTCAATTGAAGTATATTATTTTGTGGATTTAGAAATCATTTCTCGATTCCTATGCTTGAAAATTTAATAACATTATAACAAGACAATAAACAGCGAACAATGAAATAAGTAGCTTGGCCACAATCTTTTATTGTCTTGTTATAATGTTGTTTATTGACTGGTACTACTCACTTATTTCATTGTTCGTTGTTTATTGTCTTGTTATAATGTTGTTCATTTTTCAGGCATAAGAATCGAGAAATGATATCTGAATCCATAAAACAAAATACTCCAAGTAAATCGGATATTGGGCACCAGCTAGAAGTTAGGTGTCGTGCTCTTCATTCGTTGACAGGTCATCTGCTGACAGAGGTCTCCATGGCTACTGCAGTCATGCGTGCATTCCCGATTGATTTTCCATCCCGTGTTTTCCTACCGATTGCTAATTATTTAAAAGAACCCCTACGAATTTTAACCTACAATGTTCTATCACCAATATATTTGATTGATAAATATAAAGATTACCCAGCTTGGGCGTTGGATTTATCATTTTGAAGAAAACTGATTCTCAAAGAGCTAACCACTTTCAAGCCTGTTGTAGTATGTCTACAAGAAGCGAGTGTTTTTCCTCATTTTGATCAATTGTTCATTGCAGTATGTTCTCATTGTGTTATGTGTAGGCCGACGAGAAGTACAAAGACTATCTGAAACCACTAGGCTATGAAGTTTTATATAAAATGTAGGTATGTAAACTCTTGGCTTAAACTTTGACTTTGTCTAGCATGTCGATACATTATTGCACGTCTTAACTAGACTTTTGATATAAGAGTGGGCACTTAAGAACCTTGAAACTCTTGTCTAAATAATTTGAATGCTTGACGGAATATCAAACAAAAAATGACTTTTAAATTTCATCCTCTTTCATGGAACTGAATTTAAGAATGATCTATGTTTCAGCCTAATGCATAGGACAATCATCCGTATACGAGACTAAAAGTGAACCAGTGATCAATTGGAAGAGTTATGAGACTAAAGAGTTAATCTTTTGATCCTATTCTCGTCAGAAGCATAGACTGTCTACATTTCCTATCAAGGAAAAAGCTAAAATTTTGAATATGACTTTCTCACATGCTGTGATTGTGAATAGATGGTAGAGAAATCACAATGATTGCGGGAACTTAAATTGCATAATATTTATGAATAGAGTACTATCTACACCATTTTAGATGGTAGAAAAATCACTGTGATTGTGCTAAATAACAAGGCTAAATATGTTGTCGATATCATATGGAAGGATGTGTGCAGCACAAAGGATGTTTTTGCATCAGAGCAACACAAACAGGACCTTAAGATGCAAGATGCAAAATCACCAAATACACTTAATTTCTGTTTTGTAACATGTTTGGGAATCAACGTTTCATTTCAAATTCTGAAATAGAACCAAGTTCAGTGTTTGGATGGTATTATATTTGATTTTGTGGAATTGGTCCAATTCCAGTTGACCTTTTAATATTATGGTGGACCTTGAATTAAAAGTCACAACCAGAGAGATGTCATTTGGAATTTACCAGAGTTCTGCTTTCTCTCAAACTCGTCTCTCGCTCCGAGTATCAACTATCTCTATCTTCTCTATTCTTTATGCCTCTCCTCTTTCTCTCTCGATTCATTAACCATAGCCCTAGATCCAACCCCTGTCTTTCTCTTGATCGCTAACTTTTCATGTGAACCCTAATTTTCGTACATTAGATATGAAAATGTTTCCTTCTCGTAAAAACCTCACCAACTATTGGCCTGCCAATGGAAACTCTCTGGATTCTGCGGACAAAAACGTAGACCAAATCCATCATAAGCAATTAGCACAAATCAAACTCAAAAAAGGTAGCAACTTTATTGTTCAGGTCCATTACATATGAGAAATACCTTAAAAATCACAAAGAGAGAAGTAATTGAGAAGTAATTGAGAGACGTATTAACCTGCAAATGAGAAATCTCTCGATTCCGCAGATAAAGGAACCAACTTTAACCTTAAACTTTAAGATCTGTAAGATGACATCGGCAGATGTTTGCGCAATGGGATGGCGGCGAGAGAGAGAAGAAGAAGAGGAGACAGAAATATGTTGTTCTCTGAGATGGAGAGAGGGACGCAATAAATTTGGCAAAGTTCTACGCGATGGGGAGAGAGAGAGACGTTAGAACACCATAAAAACAACTCAAAGTTGGAATTATGAGGATGCTACTGGAAATAGGGGTGTTAACGGAGCGGATACGGCTCGGATATGGTACTTACCATATCCATATCCGCTTACCCATCTCGGATATGAATACGGATACGGATATATGTTGGTAAGAAAAATTCATATCCATATCCGCCAATATCGGATACGGTTACGGATATAGATGCGGATATATAAACGGATATGCATGCAGATACAAAAAGGATATGAGAAAACTAGATAGTATTCAGAAAAATATAGTCATGTGATACAAAAAGAGTTCGTTAATATGTTCATTATGATTGAAAAGCTAAGATTAGACATCTTGATCATCAAAATTAACCACAAATCCATAATCTAAGAATCGAAACTATCGTAAGAGTATTACCAATATGGATATTTTCGAATACGGATACGGATATTTCACAACAAAACCATATCCGCAATCATATCCTATCGGTAATAGATTTGAGTAACCATATTCGTATCCTAACGGATACGGTTACGGATATTTCCTCGGATACGGATACAGTTTGGCACCCCTAACTGGAAAAATACGTAAATAAAAAAAATAAAAAACAGAAAAAATTTCGACTAAATCCTGGCGACTCATTTATTTTGATGGAGGGCAACCTCATCTAAACATGTTACAAAAAAATTCCTCAGTTCCCCCGCCCGAATCGGGGATAGGGGTGTGCACTGTTCGGTTCGGTTTTTACCAAATTTTGAACAACCGAACCGAACCGTCCATTATTCAAAACCGAACCGAACCGTTGCAAGTTGGTTCGGTGCGGTTTGGTTTGGTTTGTTCGGTTCTTAATAACAGGCTAACATTCTGAAGTAGTTGTCAATTGAACCCCTACTCTCCAACAAGTTATAGTTTAAAATCAAACATTTACTCTAGATTACAAACAGCATGAAATCCATCTTCTTCACGATCAAATGTCTGAGTCTAATCACATTACTCTCTGAAAAAACTCCAAAATTTCGAAGATACTAATAAAAAATATAATAAAGCTTGCAAAAAGAACAAATTTTTAAGCATTTACCATCTAGAGCTTCACTCTAAAATTTCAATCTAACAACTTAACAAATATCTTGTTCAAATTATCCCGCTGCAAAATAAGGGCATTTAACTTACCAGCAAACTACCATTTGTGCATCAAATTTAACAAAATTTTCTGTCAGTTTCTCAAATAAATACTAGATGTCAGTAAATACATTCTCGTACTAGCTAGGGCAAATTTGAGTGGGGGATGCGGTCACCGCCGATAAGATTAGAGTGAGGGAAGGGGAAGCGAACGCGTACCTGTTGAAGAGCAGGGGCTCGCGACGGAGACGGAGGGCGGTGACCGGACCGCGATCTGAGGGGTTGAGAAAAGTTGAGGAAGAAACTTCAGGAGAGCGTTTTTAATTGGATTTTGATTTGGAAAAGAATCGAGAGAGAGCAACGGGAGGCTACAGTAGATCTGTAGGGGCAAGGGGGTGGCCATGGAGGACTGAGCGTGGAGTTTGGGTCTACGAGGTTCTCTAGGGCAGTAGGGTTGGAGCGGCGGTGGCTGGACCTGAGGTTGGGGAAGAGTTGGAGAGTTAGGTTTAGGTTAGACTGTTGGAGACTTGATTTTATAGTAAGTGAAGAACGGGTCGGGTAATAAAAAATGGGTATGGGTTATGGGCGGTCGGTTCGGGCGGTTTGGGTTGAAAAATTTTCAACCCGACCCGAACCGACTTAGAACTAAAACCGAACCGAACCGCTAATTTTCGGTCGGTTCGGTCGGTTTTTTTGGTTTGGACCGAACCGTGCACACCCCTAGTGAGATCCCAAGCAAGTAGCTGGCTGGGTTGGTTTTTTTTTTTTAATTTTTTGCTGCTGTGGGGTTTTTTTTAGGGCTACTTACGTTCAACTATATATACATAACTTGTGCAAATGCTATTTACGCTCAACCATATATTTTAGTTGCAATTACATTAGCAACTTATGCAAATGCTACTTACGTTCAACTATATACATAACTTGTTCAATGCGATTGGACGCATCTTTTGCATGAAATTAATCTCAAATTCTAGTTTGGATGTTTGTACTTTTACTTGTTACTAGTTTTTATGCACATGGTTAAATATCAAAATAATTTATTTTTTATTTATTTCATTACTATAAATAATTCAGATTTATTTTGAGTTCAAATCTGTAATATTGAATTATTAGATTTGCTATGGCATTTATTTAAATATTGTAAAAAAATCGATGTGATGGATTTTTGTGCTAAACTTGGATCAATATACTTAACTAGGATATCTTAATTGATTTCCTAAGAAAAAAATATCAATTGACATAATAATATCTTCAAGCAGAGTAGTAAAAGAAAATAAGATAAATTGATCCTACATCTCATATTCCAAACTTTACTAATCCCAAGCTATAATATGGAGTCAAGCGTGAATAACAATATCATTATGAACTATAGTTCTAGCAATAAAGAAATTACATTTATTATTGCATTGAAAACAGACGAACGCACCCCTCGACGAACGCGATCTTCGACGAACGCACCCCTCGACGAACGCGACCCCGACGAACGCACCCTTCGACGCTGGCGACAGGTTGTCGCCAGCCTGTCATCTTCCCCTATATATAAGAAACCCTAGGTCTAGGGTTTTTTTGGTGTGTGCGGCGCTGAGCTTCTCCCCCT